ACAACAGATATTTATGCACGTACAATAGTAATAAAAGCAGTCAAACATTTTAGCTCTAATGTCAAAAAGTATTTACAATATTTAACTTAATTGCAAAACATGTTAAAATATTAGCTGAAAAACATATGCAGCGGAAAAGATAGGCTTCATGTTTGCATTTTCTAAAATTGGGCATAATTACAAACTTTAAATCAGATTACACCCTTAAAAACAAAAGTAGTTTATTGGCATCGATGATTACATGAAGTACTTTTAACATCTATAGAACCTGTTGTTAAACATTCTTCAGATTACTAAAACATTCTTTACACTAATTTAAAAAACATATTCAACCTTTCCTTGAATGTTTTATTTTTATAATTAGTAACATATTTTCATATTTGTGAAAAGAAGTAGATGTCTTGTTGTGTGTTTTTTTGTGGCAGTATTTGGATAATGAATAGTAAGGAGTAAAGCTGCGGTCACATTAGAGTTTAAGCATGCGATATTCTGTCGTGCGGCCCTGCGAAAAGAGATGGGATTAAACAAGCTTATTGGACATTTTTAAAAGCAAGCGATTGCTCCATGTTTTAAATATCTGTCCAGAGTTGTCATGTTTTGATCCTTGATTGTTCTCACGCTGTCAAGTGATGCGATTTCGCAGGTCAGAGTTTACCAAGCTTGAACTTTGCACCGTCGCAACCTGCGAAACTTGACGCATGACTCCGAGTTTCCGGTCTGACGCATTCGCGTGCATATAAATGGAAGTCTATGGGAGGAAAAGCCCAATGTGACCGCAGCTTAATAGAAAACTTCTTCTTCCTTTTTCCGTTGAATGTAAAAATCTTCTTGTCACACCCACGGCTTGTTCCTGCTCACCCAATCACTGCTCTCTCTCACAAACCACCTCTCTCCAATCCCGCAAACCATCACCAGCCTTCTAATCACCTGCACCTGTTCCGCGTTATCAAGGACATTATAAAGACCCACCTCATTCTTCCAGTTGTTACTTATGTGTCTTCGGATCCTTCACACTGATCAAGGGAAGTGATTACTCTCATTTGGTAGTGGTGGGCAAAGTGAGGCTTCATGAAACACTAAAACAGTCGAAGCAAATGTGTCGAAGTTTAGAAACCCCACTCTACAGTGACACTTAGTGGTCACTTTTAATGTATTGCGCTGGAATCGCTTCAGCAAAGAACAGTTGAGCAAATTGAGGTACTAAACCCCACTTTGTAGAGTTGAACATTCAAGTAATTTAGTGGAGCGGTGAGGGTTCCTGACCACCATGCAGGGAAAGTGGGTTCGAATCTATGATGATACAGCTATTTTGAAATGCTTAATATCAGTTTGAAATGCTTTGTTCTTGTATCGTTTTGTTTCAACATTGGTCTGACAACTGAAAAAACACTTAGTGAATAAATATGTCTTGTATTAGTCATAAAACAGGATTGCTGCTAGATCAGAAATGGATGTGGTTGGAAGTTTACACATATTATTTATTATAATTAAATTTTCGGTTTATTGTATTTTATTAACATCTACATAAAGCCAACCATCACATTACTGTAAAAATATTAATTGCTTAAAGTGTTTCAAAAATGATGCTAAATGGATGACTTATCCACAGCTGTCTCTTATCTAGACTAGACCATAAAACTGTAACATTATTAAAATACATTAAATCTTGATTTCCGAGAATTTGTACAAGTTGGGATTTGAACCCAAAGGCCATTTGAAGCCTAGTAACAACGTGCACATGCCTGGTTGACTAGGCTATATGAGACGTTAGTATTCACTGACCTTGTCAGCCAAAAGCCGATTCACAAGGTCTCGAAACACTTCTGAACTGATAGATGCTTTAAATCGCTTTAGTCACGGGACCAGGTGTTTCCGATCATGCGGTGTCTTCGAGATCCCGACACTGTGTCGAAACGTCAGTTTCACGTCAACCATCCCTATCATTTGGTGTTTCGAAGATCTGCCATTTACCTGATGAACTGTGTGTCTGTATACTCATCTGCTGATGATCCCAAGAACGAATTATATGTGAGATAACTAACACCAGATGATTACATTATGAGCTGTTGAAGATAAATAAATCCATAGTAAAAAATACATTATTTAAATGTTAGTACAAATAACAACCACAAATAAAACCTGGAAGTCATGATGTCTCAATAAAACTCTAGTCTTTTTATTTCAATTCATCTTCATGAACATTGAGTGATTCATCCTGCCAGTACAGTCAAGTGCTATTTACCTTTTAACAGCTCTGACACATCCTTACTTTAAGTGACTCCTTATGAATCAAACTGATAAAAGATAACTATTCTTGTCTTCCTTGTCTACCAGTGTGTAAAGAAGCCTCATTAGCTATATTAATAAATTAGCTGAAATGTGTTTATTGTTGCAATTGCTTGTAGCAACTGATTTATATTGATTAATTAGTTAAATGATATGGACATTAGTATAGAATTAATATTATATGGAGCGTGTCTGGCCAGTTTTGCTATGAGTTCATTGTACATAGACCTCGTAGTGTGTTATTATCTCTAACTCTTTCAGCAGAAATCATAGAGCAGAACCACAGATCATGGTCGAAAATGTGCGTCGTTTACTGTGTCTTGTGTCACCGCACATATTCAGGGAGTTAAGCTGCACATGTGTGCCCACAGAAGAGCATCAGCATCAGGCATCTGTTGAATCTTAACACTGCTGGAAGCACTGCATGACTGTGGCGTTTGAAGTTTATGGCTTCTCTGAGAGAGCAGAGGCGTTCTCCACTGGGATTTTATCATCAGAATGTGGATTCGGATCAGAGAAATGGCTGATGTTTTTGAATTTTAATGGACGAGAGGAAATGTATAAAGAGGATGAGATTTTGTGTGCATAAATTGATGCAGAGAAGATGCTATTTTAGATGGCAGGTCTCAGAGGTCATAATGAAGGTACAGAAGCTTTGCATGTTGTTTGTGGGAAATTTGGGGATTTTTTTTTTATTTTATTTGCAGCATCAAGCCTTCGGGAAGCTCATTTACTAAATGATTTCTGTAAATGAGCAAAAAAGTAGAGGATTTGTGTAATGCTAATCAATACTGCAGAAACTAAACATGTTTTTTGTTGTTTTTTGTTTGTTTTGTTTTTGTTTTTTTGTGCTTTTTGTCGTGCTTTGTTTTGATTTGTTGTTTAATTGTTTTCTGTATAGATTTCTTTTCTTGTTTTGCTTTTAGTTTTTGCTTTTACTAGTTTTTTCTGTCTTCTGTCTTTTTTTCTTGTTTGGTTTTGCTTTGTTCTGTTTAATTTAGTTTTAATTTATTTAGGTTTGTTTTTTGTTTCCTTTTGATATTTTTGTTTCAATTTCAGTTTGCTTGTGTTTTTTGATTTTTATTTTTTTGCTTTTGTTTCTGCTTTTGTTTTATTTTACGTTTTGTTTTTGTATTTTATGTTTTGAGTCTTGTTTTTATTGTGTGGTTTTGCTTTGTATTTAGTTTCTTGTCTTTTGTTTATTATTTCCTTTTAATGTCTATTGTTCCATTTTGTTTCATAATTTATTTATAATATTTCTTGTTTTGTTTCATTTTGTTTCCTATTTATTTTTGTTTTGTTTTGGTTTTGTTTTGGTTTTGCTTTGTTTTGTGTCTTGTTTTTTTCTTGTTTTTTTTTGGTTTTGCTTTGTTTTTTCCTTTTGTTTTTGTTTCGTTTCTTGTTTTTTTTAATTGTTTTTTGTTTAGTTGTGCTTTGTATAATGTTTTTGCTTTGTTTGTTTTTTTTTCTTTTTTGATTATTTTTGTTTCCTATTTAGTTTGTCTTTTATTTTTGTTTTGTTTAGTTTCCTTTTTGTGTTTTGTTTTTCTTTTTGTTTCAGATTTTTTTATTTGTTTCGTTTCTTGTTTTTTTAATTGTTTTTTGTTTAGTTGTGCTTTGTATAATGTTTTTGCTTTGTTTGTTTTTTTTTCCTTTTTTGATTATTTTTGTTTCCTATTTAGTTTGTCTTTTATTTTTGTTTTGTTTAGTTTCCTTTTTGGGTTTTGTTTTTTCTTTTTGTTTTGGATTTTTTATTTGTTTCGTTTCTTTTTTTTTTTTTTTTTTTGTGTTTAGTTTTATGTTTTGTATAATGGCTTTGCTTTATTTTTTTGTTTATTGTTTTCTTTTATTTAATGTTTATTGTTTCTTTTTGTTTCATAATTTGTTTCTATTATTTCTTGTTTTGTTTAACTTTGTCTTGTTTTATGTTTTTCTTTGTTTTTTTATATTTTGTTTCTTCTTTTGTTTTTTTGTTTTGTTGTGTTTTCTTGTTTTTCTTTGTTTTTTCATGTTTGGTTTTGCTTTAATTTATTTTCTTTTTTTTCTTGTTTCCTTTTTTTTGGTTTTTTAAATGTATTTCTATCATTTCTTGTTTTGTTTAACTTTGTTTCCTTATTTTTGTCTTGTTTTATGTTTTTCTTTGTTGTTTTATATTTTGTTTCTTCTTTTGTTTTTTGTTTTCTTGTGTTTTCTTGTTTTTCTTTGTTTTGGGTTGTTATTGTTTGTTTTGGGTTGTTATTGTTTGTCTTTTTTCATGTTTGGTTTTGCTTTAAGTTATTTTCTTTCTTTTTTTCTTGTTTACTTTTTTTTGGTTTTTTAAATGTATTTCTATTATTTCTTGTTTTGTTTAATTTTGTTTCCTTTTTAGTTTTTTGTGTATTTTTTGTTTCATGTTTTTTTTTTTTTTTTTTTTTTTCAGGTTTTGTTTTGTGTGAAATAAAACTCAATTTAATTTCTAGAAAACAACACCAAATAATTATTCTGAAACATCTGTTGCAATGGTAGCATGTATGTTATCCTGAACAGATGTATTGAAATCTGTTCCTTAATGTTAATGTTAAAAAATATATAACTCACTCAATTTTCACCCTGAAATTGGTGCGAACAGGTCTTTTTAGGCTTGACTTTTTATAACATTTAAGACGTTGGAAGACTGAAACCATGCCTCCAACAATATTTACTCTGTTTTAAAACCCACTGTGTCTCTTTCACAGGGTAAAAGCAAAGAAAGGGGTGAATCTCCTCAGCACCAAGTCAAGGAGTAACCAGTGGAGGGTTGAATGGGACATGCAGTCCGGAGCCAAACACTCCATCGCCACCGTTGAAGCCAGCAAGATCAAAGGAGTGTCTGGGTAAGTCAGCCTCATGCTTTTGTACACTGATCTAGGAACAGCTACCCTAGTGGCGAACAAAGTAGTGCACATTAAATGGCAATCTGGTTTCTGATCAGCGGTGGAAGGAGAACCTACACTTTCATGGATGAATCATCACATTCACCCACTCCAACATCTGCTAGTTAATCCAGATAACATTTAACTAAAACAGAATCCCGTCTGCTCAGTTAAGACCTTTGTTCAAGGATGTTACTGTCTAATTGGAGAGGCTTACATTCAATGGAACGTTTGTTGTCAAATTAATTAGTACTTCCTGTGTGTTCATTTATGCTAAATTGTTTTTGTGGGGCTTTTCGACAGAAACTTCTCACAGAGTCTGTAGCCATAAATACATAAAGATACAGGATTTATGTTCAGACTGTGCTTTGGAGTCAATCCTGAAGAAATTAAATAAAGAAATTAAATAAAAGATAAATGCTTGTTCCTTATAGGTCTTTGTTTTACCTTATTAGCAACCTGACAAACCTTATATTAAATCCCACTTTATACTTTATAAGTTATTGTCTGTTAGGTTGTATTCATGCAACAATAAAATCTCAAAATTCAGTTTTTTTTTTTTTAGAATATCAACTTTTTTGTCTCAATGTTCAGATTTTATTTTATATTCATTTTTTTTTACTATTGAAAGTTTTTCCCCCCTCAGAATTGCAATTCTGAGTTTGTTTTGTCTCAGAATTATGAATGTCTTACTTTTGTTCTGAAAATTGTAACTTTTTATCCCTCAATTAATTTTTGTATGACCACATTTAAATTTCTCATTTCTGACTTTTTGTCTTCAGAACTTTACATTTAAGCTCAGACTTCAGATTTTTCTATAAGGTTTAGAGTTTGTATCTAAGAGTTGCAGGTTTTTACAGTTTTAAGTTTGAATGTTTTTCTTTAGAACAGAATTTCTGTTAGAAGATTTTCTCTCAAATTCTGACCTTTTTTTTTTTCCTGAGAATTGTACATATTTGTCACAATTCAGGGCTTTTTGCTTTCAACTTAAAGTTCTGACTTTTTTCCAAGAATTGTAACATTATTTTCTCAAATTCTGACATTTCTCCTCAGAATTCCAACCTTTTGTCTCACAGTTCTGTTTTCTTTTCTTCCATAATTGCAAGTTTTTTACATTATAAGTGAGATTTGTTTTTTTCTCAGAATTGCACCTGTTTATGTATTAGTACATTTATTGTTATTTTCTAACACTTTATTTCTCACAGTTCAAGTTAATTTCTTAAAATTCAGAATTGTATCTTAGAATTTTACAGTTTTACAGAGTTTGCACAATTTTTGATATATATATATATATATATATATATATACACACAGTTAAAGTCAGAATTATTAAACCCCCCGGATTTATTACCCCCCTGTTTATTTTTTTCCTCAATTTCTGTTTAACGGAGAGAATACTTTTTTCAACACATTTCTAAACATAATAGTTTTAATAACTCATTTCTAATAAGTGATTTATTCTATCTTTGCCATGATGACAGCAAGTAATTTTTTACTAGATAATTTTTAGACGCTTCTATGCAGCTTAAAGTGACATTTAAAGGCTTTACTAGGTAATTAGGTTATCTAGGCAGGTTAGGGTAATTAGGCAAGTTATTGTATAATGATGGTTTGTTCTATAGACTATCGAGAAAAAAAAATAGCTTGAAGGGGCTAATAATTTTGACCTTAAAATGGTGTATAAATATTTTAAAACTGCTTTTATTCTAGCCTAAATTAAACAAATATCACTATTATATATTTTTTTCAGAAATAATAAATCAAAAAAATGTTTTTCCTTAAAAAAAGAAAATAATAAAAATAAAGATAACTAACCTGCCAATGGTGTAAAGAGAAAAATAATATGTTTGTACCCCATTTTATTTAGCTAGTTATTTAGCAGTTTATTTAATTAGCAATTATTTTTTTTTTTTGCATTTTGTATTTTTTTTATAATCGTCAGTATTTTAATACATTAGCACATACAAATACAGTCTCAGCTATACAGTAGGAAATATTGGGAAATACAATTATTATATTTTTCTTTATATTTATTATTTCTGACTTTTTGTTTTGTTTTTGTTTTTTACAGAATTGCAACTTTTTCGCAGTTGGCATTTTTCAGTTGTACCTTTTTTTCTCAGAATAAATGTTTACTTTTTGATGTTCAGGACAGCTAAACGTTTTTGTTATTGATTTTTTTTTTTATCCCACGATAAACCAGGCTTCCATATGTGCATCCATTATCTTCTATTTAACTGCTAACAGAGATATTTTTGTTTGGTACAGTATATTTATCATTCACATTTTTGTTGTAGAACACCTTCGCTGCTATCAAGGTGGGATATAAATAATTGAGAGAATTACAATATATACAGTTATTCACCTTCCTATTTTTTATTATTTTTTATTATTTTCAAAAAAATTTTAAATGATGTTTAACAGAGCGTGGACTTTTTTACAGTATGTCTGATAATATTTTTTTTCTTCTGGAGAAAGTCTGATTTGTTTAATTTCAGCTAGAATAAAAGCAGTTTTGTTAAACCATTATAAAGAATATCAATCAATATTATTAGCCCCCTTTAAGAAATATTTTTTTATTGAATTGTCTAGTCTACAGAACAAACCATCATTGTACAATGACTTGCCTAATTACCCTAATTTGGTTAACTAACCTAGTTAAGTCTTTAAAATGCACTTTAAGCTGAATACTTGCATCCTGAAAAATATCTAGTAAAATATTATGTACTTTCAACATAGTTATTAAATTAAGTTAAGAAATGTGTTAAACATATTTCCTTTAAATAAAAATTGAAAGATTTGCAGGAGGCTAATAATTCTGACTTCAACTGTACATTATTAATATGTGTGTGAACATAATAAATCCATAGTAAAAAATACATTATTTAAATGTTAGTACAAATAACAACCACAAATAAAACCTGAAAGTCATGATGTCTCAATAAAACTCTAGTCTTTTTATTTCAATTCATCTTCAGGAACATTGAGTGATTCATCCTGCCAGTACAGTCAAGTGCTATTTACCTTTTATCAGCCGGGTTAGGATGCAGTGATTGAGTGTTGGCACAGAGATTAGCAGCGAGGTCATCTGAATTAAACATCATGCTATTTTCTTCATGTTTCTAAGCCTCTTAGTCTTGGTCTTTTTTTGCCCTTTGTATTTAGTGAACCCTGGCAAAATCATTTTTCTCATTCGGCCGAACATGTGAAGGGACCGTGTCATTCGCCTGCCGTTTTACTGGAAGTACAGTTTGCTTCCAGGAAAACTGTACTTTCGCAGGAATACTGAACACTTTACTGACATGACGTGTGTTCTGACAGCTGCCACAGTGTGTGTGTTTTATCCAAGTGTGCCGCAAGCCTGCGTTTGAGTGAAGGTCTCGGCCGTTAGATCGCCCCCTGGGGGCTGGCTGCAGTACAAGTCATAAAGCCCGCCTCCTCCGTGTTAATGAAAGAGACTTGAGCCCAAATAAAAAAAAAATTATTACACTTGCAATAAAATGTCCCGAAAGATGGTTCTGGTGGATTAAGGCACTGGTTATTGTGCTAAAATAGGTGCAGATCTTCATTTTTGTAAACAGTTTGTTTTTAGCAGTAATTTAATGCTGGGCGTGTCATCGTGATTGACAGCTGTGATTGACAGTTTCTCAAAGCAGCGCGTCTGAGCTTCGGCAGGAGACTGAAGTGTTATTATTCGATTTCTGTGTTATTTTACCATGACAAAATGAGTTCAGCAGTAAACTATAGTTTCTGTCATACATGATCCTGGTGGAACACTGTTTATTCGCTAAGTTCAGGGCTTTTTTCGGGCTTTATTAGTTTGCTGATACACGCCCAACCACCCAGATAGCAAAACACAGTTCCGGCTAGATTCTCGCCTGCCGGAGACTTATCCCTTAGAGCTCAGACTGACTACCTCTGCTGGACCTACTCCGGATGCCTGGACTCACTGCCCGATTCCAGCCCGAGTCAATCGAGCCAGATGCGGCGGCCGAGCGAGCCGGCGCTGCCGCATGCGAGCCGGAATCAGCCCGCGACGCCGCGAGTAGGTTATGCGCTGCGGTCCGGAGCTGGCGCGATTGAATATATAAAACCCTCATATTTGTTAACGTTATTAAATCCATTTGTGTTGATATGACAGCAAACGCATGCTGAGAAGTTCGGGGGGCGTGGTTGATTTTACATAAAGCGTTTGGTTGGAAGCTCGACTCCGCTCATTTTCGCGGCTCCTCCTCTGGCTCCATCAGACAGTCCTTCTGCGCATGTCAAGGCTCCAATTTCAGCAGTCTTTTGCGACAGTTTGTGCCCGTCAAGCAGGCGTTTTGCCCTCAAGGCGTTCAATGGGAAAAAGGGCTGTCGCGTCGTCCATATTTTTTACAGTCATTGGTTTTATCGCTTTAGAGCTTAAAGACATGTCTGTCTGTCTGTCTGTCTCTCTGTCTGTCTGTCTCTCTAAAACTGTAAAATTACAAAAGAGTATTATTATTAACTGTCTGGGTGTTGTTGTTGTTGTTTTTTTGTGTGTGTGTGTGTTTTTTTTTTTTTTTTGCAACAATTTTTATTCCCCCTTGGAAACTAATCTGAGACTAGAGCATCCTTTACAAATGTTTGAATAAGCTTGGAATTATCTATTTTTTTTAAAGATTAGCAACTATTTATCTTTATTCATCCTATTATTTATTATTTTTTTTTTTGTGATTTATTCTTTACAGTTATAAAATGTGACTGAAAAGCTCAGAAGTGTGAATTCCCCTCACAGCTCAGACTTTTTTCAATTTAACCTTTTCTTTGAACTGTTCAGGATTGCGTATAGTATATAATGCAAGAAATAACATAAAAAATAAATTAATTAATAAGTAAATAAATATTATTCATTAAAAATATTTTTTTTATTATTACTTATTTTTATTATTTGAATTTGTTATTTTTTATTAATTAAACTATATAAATCATAATTGTGA